AAAGCACCCCCCGCCCCCCGGGAATTTTCCTTCACGTCTACTGTGAAGGAACTGGAGGGAACCACAGAGTAGATGCAGTGAAGTTCCAATGTTTCCTCGTAGAATTTATAAAATCAACCCAGTACGTGGAGTCCCGTGCATGCAGCTATATAGAGCTTACCTCTGATCAACTCCGGTGGGGTCTGAACCCTGAAGGACAATTTGTGAATCCTGACCCAGCTTACTCCTTCACAGTCTCCATAGAGGAAGCACGGGGTACAAGGATGGGGCTGTGTGTCCCTCTCCTGACAGACAGGGTGGGGCTGGGACAGGGGCCCAGCATGGCAGCTGATGGGAGATACTCTCTTCCTCCTTCTTTAATTTACAAACCCATTTCTGAAGCAGTACACAGTCTACTTTGTACAGTAACATGTCCGAGATTCTGTGCTTTCATCCACATCATGGGTCAGGTTGTGCTATGTGAGGAGGGTGCTCGGGACACTGTGAGGTGCTGCTGCTGCTGAATCACTTGCTACTGCTTTTCACACTGTCACGTGTTGAACACAAGGCTTCAGGTTTCTTACTGTGGTGACTGGAGCAGGCACGGTCTCAGCTTTCCACCCAGTGACCCAGGACAAGAACTTTGAGAGTCTTACTTCAAGATGAGGCTACCTTAAACCTCTGCGGTAGCAGGTAGTCCATGTCTGTGCCAGTGAACAAACATTTACATTTAGAAGTGCAAGCTAATGAGCATTCCCTTGTCTGGGTGAAGTGACTTTGCACATGTTTGGAACCACTGTCAATTCACAAAGAAATGTTCGAACACACTTCTGAGTCCCTTGGGTCTGTTGGTGAAGTCTGCTCCACATCTGACACTGGGCCTGTGCCATCTTCACATGTGACTCTGTGGTGTGACTCCTCTCTGTTTGTTCCAGGGTGATACTGGACCTGCAGGACCACAGGGCCCCAGAGGGCCAAGGGGCTCACCGGTGAGTTTTGCTGTGAGAGTAATTTACTACACAGTTCAGTGGGGCTGTTACCATGTTGACATTGGATTGGTTGACCTTTGCGTAGATACATATACTTTTTAAAAAATGATGTTCTGTGTCTTAGCAGATACTAAACAGCCACTGCCATCTGCCTCTAGCCCTCTCCTACACATACCGCTGCATAGCCCACTCACAGTCCACCCATAGAACCCACAGGGACCCTAAAGGGGCTGCTATCCTTCCAACTTTGGTCCATTGCCCAGATTGATCCATGTGCTATATCTGAGTTTCCTGTAGATGCTTCCACAAGCATCACAGCTGGTAGCTTTGATACAAATATATCGCCCTTTGTTTCTGGAGGCCAGAGGTGGAGGGTCAGTTGCCAGCTATGAAAGGAAGCATCCCTATGTCTCCACTTTGTGGGGTTAGCAGACTATCCTTACATTCCTTGGCTTATACACGTAACTCCCCATCCACGCTTCTCAGGATGCTCTTCCTCCGTGTGTGTGTGTGTGTGTGTGTGTGTGTGTGTGTGTACCTCCCATTTTCCTCTTGCATAAGGACACCAGTCATATTGGATTAGGGATCCAACATAATACACATCAATTCATGTAACCGATTACATCTCTGGTGTGTGTGTGTGTGTATGTGTGTGTGTCTGTGTGCACCTCCCATTTTCTTCTTGCATAAGGACACCAGTCATATTGAATTAGGGATCCAACATAATACACATCAATTCATGTAACCGATTACATCTCTGGTCATCTTGTTAACACATAACTTCACATTCTGAGGGCCTGGGTGTTAGCATTTCAACATGTCACTTTAACCCATAACACTCTACATGCAAATATTTTGGGTGTTATGCTTTCCTGTTCATACAATAGGAACATCAGAGAGTATGAAGGACGGCAGAGAGGTAGATATCTATTCAGGTGCCGGGTGCTGTGTAAAGAGACAAATGTGACCGACTGAGAGAACTGTATGAGGCGGCAGCAGGTGTACCACACACACAGCATACTGTTTAAGTGAAACTTTGCTTCTAGTGAGTATAAGCACACTCTACAACAGAGGTGGACAGTGCACTATTGTAAGTACGTAGACCAGAGCGGAGTTTACGTTGTCTAATGACATGGTCAGTGTGGACATGCTCCTTTTCGCACCTGCCACTGCCAGTAGGTTTGTCTCTCCAGCGTCACTGCCAGACTCTGAGTGATGCTGTGCTGTGACATCCAGAGGGCTGTGGTGTCTCTAGGCGCTAGGTACTTTTAGGCTCCATCACAGCCTGCGGGTCCACCGCTGGGGACACAAGCTACCCGCTGCTGCCTATGTGCCCTGCTTTGCTTTCCATTGCTGTGATAAACATCATGACCAAGAGCAGCTTAATGAAGAAAGGGTTCATTTGACTCACACTTCCAGTCCATAGTCTATCGCTGGGGGAAGTCAGGGCAGGAACATTGGTCAGAAATGCTCAAACAGAGAAATGCTCCCTACTGGCTTGCTTTCTCTGGACCATGCTCAGCTAGCTGTCTGGACATAGCCCAAGATCACTTGCCCAGTGGTGGCATGGCCAACCGTGGGCTGGGCCACCCCACATCAAATAACCACCAAGAAAATGTACCACAGATATGCTACAGACTGTGTGAGAATAAGATCTAACCCATATAATACACCCCAGCCATCGTGTTGTGCATGACTGTATTTGCAAATAAATTTCACTTATGTCTGTGGTTGTTGTAAATGTGTACACATCTCACAAACCTTCATTTTGCTTTCCTTAAACTACAGACGCACAGGAATGGGTATAGCCCGTGTGATAACCATCTCACAGCCACTGATTTCAAAGTAATATTGCAGTGTTCAGTGCTGGGGACTATGTGAGGTATTGATGTCATTCATTCAGTGTTCCCTTCAGCGAGATTCTGTGCTTTCATCCACATCATGGGTCAGGTTGTGCTATGTGAGGAGGGTGCTCGGGACACTGTGAGGTGCTGCTGCTGCTGAATCACTTGCTACTGCTTTTCACACTGTCATGTGTTGAACACAAGGCTTCAGGTTTCTTACTGTGGTGACTGGAGCAGGCACGGTCTCAGCTTTCCACCCAGTGACCCAGGACAAGAACTTTGAGAGTCTTACTTCAAGATGAGGCTACCTTAAACCTCTGCGGTAGCAGGTAGTCCATGTCTGTGCCAGTGAACAAACATTTACATTTAGAAGTGCAAGCTAATAAGCATTCCCTTGTCTGGGTGAGTGACTTTGCACATGTTTGGAACCACTGTCAATTCACAAAGAAATGTTCGAACACACTTCTGAGTCCCTTGGGTCTGTTGGTGAAGTCTGCTCCACATCTGACACTGGGCCTGGGCCATCTTCACATGTGACTCTGTGGTATGACTCCTCTCTGTTTGTTCCAGGGTGATACTGGACCTGCAGGACCACAGGGCCCCAGAGGGCCAAGGGGCTCACCGGTGAGTTTTGCTGTGAGAGTAATTTACTACACAGTTCAGTGGGGCTGTTACCATGTTGACATTGGATTGGTTGACCTTTGCGTAGATACATATACTTTTTAAAAAATGATGTTCTGTGTCTTAGCAGATACTAAACAGCCACTGCCATCTGCCTCTAGCCCTCTCCTACACATACCGCTGCATAGCCCACTCACAGTCCACCCATAGAACCCACAGGGACCCTAAAGGGGCTGCTATCCTTCCAACTTTGGTCCATTGCCCAGATTGATCCATGTGCTATATCTGAGTTTCCTGTAGATGCTTCCACAAGCATCACAGCTGATAGCTTCGATACAAATATATCGCCCTTTGTTTCTGGAGGCCAGAGGTGGAGGGTCAGTTGCCAGCTATGAAAAGAAGCATCCCTATGTCTCCACTTTGTGGGGTTAGCAGACTATCCTTACATTCCTTGGCTTATACACGTAACTCCCCATCCACGCTTCTCAGGATGCTCTTCCTGTGTGTGTGTGTGTGTATGTGTGTGTGTCTGTGTGCACCTCCCATTTTCTTCTTGCATAAGGACACCAGTCATATTGGATTAGGGATCCAACATAATACACATCAATTCATGTAACCGATTACATCTCTGGTCATCTTGTTAACACATAACTTCACATTCTGAGGGCCTGGGTGTTAGCATTTCAACATGTCACTTTAACCCATAACACTCTACATGCAAATATTTTGGGTGTTATGCTTTCCTGTTCATACAATAGGAACATCAGAGAGTATGAAGGACGGCAGAGAGGTAGATATCTATTCAGGTGCCGGGTGCTGTGTAAAGAGACAAATGTGACCGACTGAGAGAACTGTATGAGGCGGCAGCAGGTGTACCACACACACAGCATACTGTTTAAGTGAAACTTTGCTTCTAGTGAGTATAAGCACACTCTACAACAGAGGTGGACAGTGCACTATTGTAAGTACGTAGACCAGAGCGGAGTTTACGTTGTCTAATGACATGGTCAGTGTGGACATGCTCCTTTACGCACCTGCCACTGCCAGTAGGTTTGTCTCTCCAGCGTCACCTCCAGACTCTGAGTGATGCTGTGCTGTGACATCCAGAGGGCTGTGGTGTCTCTAGGCGCTAGGTACTTTTAGGCTCCATCACAGCCTGCGGGTCCACCGCTGGGGACACAAGCTACCCGCTGCTGCCTATGTGCCCTGCTTTGCTTTCCATTGCTGTGATAAACATCATGACCAAGAGCAGCTTAATGAAGAAAGGGTTCATTTGACTCACACTTCCGTCCATAGTCTATCGCTGGGGGAAGTCAGGGCAGGAACATTGGTCAGAAATGCTCAAACAGAGAAATGCTCCCTACTGGCTTGCTTTCTCTGGACCATGCTCAGCTAGCTATCTGGACATAGCCCAAGATCACTTGCCCAGTGGTGGCATGGCCAACCGTGGGCTGGGCCACCCCACATCAAATAACCACCAAGAAAATGTACCACAGATATGCTACAGACTGTGTGAGAATAAGATCTAACCCATATAATACACCCCAGCCATCGTGTTGTGCATGACTGTATTTGCAAATAAATTTCACTTATGTCTGTGGTTGTTGTAAATGTGTACACATCTCACAAACCTTCATTTTGCTTTCCTTAAACTACAGACGCACAGGAATGGGTATAGCCCGTGTGATAACCATCTCACAGCCACTGATTTCAAAGTAATATTGCAGTGTTCAGTGCTGGGGACTATGTGAGGTATTGATGTCATTCATTCAGTGTTCCCTTCAGACCCATGAGATGGGTGGTGTGAATCTATAGATGAGAAGAGGGGACACAGAGATGTTAATATTTTGCCCAAGATCATCTAGGCAGTCAACCTTCGAGCCAGCCTTTGAACTTAAGCAGCCTGGGCCAAGAATCTGAAACGTAAGGCTCTGTGCTAGAAGAGTGTACACTAGATTGCCTTGGCAGAAAGGTACCCTGCAGGGAGGAGGTTGAATCAGGAGTCTGACATTCATAACAGTTGGAGAAGGGACTGCAGCCTCCATCATGGGTATCATAGAGTCCAGAGGGGCACTTTCATGGAGGGTGAGACATACAGTGTGACTCTGGGGCCTGGGAAGGAAACCGGTCCCAGCCACAACAAGTCCGAGTTCACAGGGAACAGATGGCCCCTAGGGCCAGTGCTATGTGCTGATGTGTTGTGGTCCTTGTCCTGCAGAGGGAGGACCAGAGAGGGAAGCAGGAGAGGTATCATTTCCATAGGGATGAACTGAAGTATATATTTTTAGAGAGACACAGATGGGTGGGTAGGCGGAGGGAGAGAGGGAGGGGCAGCAGGCAGCGCTTGCTGGAAGGGCTGAGCATGCCTGCCAATCAGAAATACCCATCATGTTTCCCATTTCTGCGCTCACCAGCTCGGGAGCCTGTGTACAACCTGGGTCTTCTCTGTGTCTCAGCTGTCTTCTCTGTGATATCAGAATAAGGTCATCTATGCTACATGGTTTTTGGGAGGGTCTGGTGACATGAAGAACACGAATGTCCACAGTCTCACGGGCACATTTTAAGCGCCAAGTGGAGGCTGTGTTTCTGCTCACTAACTCACGAGCTATGCCCTTCATGAGGGCGATGCATTACAGCACAGGTTCAGATCTGCTCCAGCTCAGAGTGGATTCCTCACTTCCCTCTTGGGTTGGTTGCTTAGCATTTTTGTGCCTTGATCTCCCCATATGTAAAATGCTGATAATGTTTGCATTTGGTGTGAGGAGTGGCTGAGTTAGGAGAGGGTCTGATTCAGCTAAAGGCTGTTGACTGTAACATGTTTTGGGGATGCTGACACTTTAGTGAGTCCCTGCATCAGAGGTATAGGACAAGCTGCTGGAAACATTAGAGCCATGCGTCACAGACTCATGGCCGAGATGGAAGTCAAGCCAGGGAGAGCATTCAGTGGGCTGCCTGGTGGGCAGAAAGTGTTGAGTCTCGTGAAGTTGAGCGGTACATTTTAGGCAATAAGGTTGTTTTCTTTTCCTGATCTTTATTATATGAAAAATCCTTTCTTTGTTTTGAGAAAGGCTGTCATGTAGCCCAGGGTAGCCACTAACTCACGATGTAGCTGGGATGACCTTGAGTGCTTGATTATCTTGCTTCTCCCTCCCAAATGCTAGGATTACAGGCATATGTAAACATGAGGAATATTATTGGTTAGATGTGTTTTCCAAAAATATAAACGTGCACAGAACAGCGGTCAAGTTGGAGAATGTTAGATTCGAGATAGTAAGTCTCAGAACCTGGAGTGAATGGGTCCTTCCACTCCCTAACTGAATAACTGCACAAGCCAGAGGCTCCCTGTGCCTCTGACTTTATCTGTTAAGCAGGATTATAATCATGCCCCGGGGCCTGAAGGAGAAGAGCCTGAGAACTTGCTTCCTTCATTGCAACTCATGATGCCGGCCGCTTTCCTGAGTTGTGTCCTGATGGATGCTTGTCTTGTTTGTTTCTCAACCCAGCCTGTAAGAATGAATGGAAGGATGAATGAGCGTGGTCCTGCTTACTGCTTTCCTATGCAGTGTGGGGACCAGTAACTGAGCTAGTGCTTTTCATGCCCACGGACTCATTTAGTTCCATAATAATGTTATGAATTAAATATCAGGAGCTCCCTTTGCATGTTGAAAAGCATCCTCTGTGACATGTCATGGGCTGCAGAGAGCCATATGAGCCTTAGTGAGAATGGCCTGTGGGATTCCTCCACTTGCAGTCAGTATTGCTCTAATGCCCTGTCTGGATGCCCTGATACAGAGTCCTGGCAGGATGATCATTTCTGTTTCTTCCACCAGGGTAGCAGTGGATTACCTGGATCCCCAGGAGACCCTGGCCATCCGGGGGCACCAGTGAGTACTCATCCCAGCTGGGTGATGGTGTCAGGGCCTGGTCTGAGAGAGTCAGAGATTTGCATCACATGTTGTTTAGTGTCCGTCACTGAAACTGTTGGTGGAAAAAGTCCATAGTTAATGGATTTCTGATCTACAGATAGATCAGAAGCTAGAGGATTGGGTTTGCACCTCTTTCCAAGTTTAGCGTACATGTGACTATATACCCAATTACTTGCTGTCTAAACCACAGGGACCTACAATTACTAAATGAAAGGTGTATAGGAAGGTTTCAGTGTTTAATGATTTCAGAGAAGGAAGGAACTGGGTCGTCAAGCAACCTTGACCATCTCCCTTGACAAGGTGGGTGTTCAGCACAGGAAAAGAAGTAGGGCCAGTGGATGGAAAACAAGAAAGACTATCACAGGTAGTAGAAAGAGGCTGGCCTGATTGACAAGAAGAGTCCTGGGCACTGAATAGAAATTTCAGGATTCAGGGTTCAGACCTGTTCAGTGGGGAGACACCCTGGACTAGATGGTTCTCTGATAGACTCGAGGCTTGGCTGAGTTCAAGACCGAGCACTCGTCCTCTGCTTGCCTTACCTGCTGGTATTTTTATTTGCATAGGTTGAGAACTCTGGTCAGGAGCCAATTGCTAATGTGATGCGCCAAGCCACGCTTGGCCAGGGTAGCGTGCTAGCCAGTCCTGGCCAGACTAGCACTGTAGAAATCAGGGTGAGCAGAACTCCACCAATCCCAGGTAGTTGGGATGCTCAGTCACACTGGTAGAGTCTTTCCTGCTGGATGGAGGACAGCTGTGCTGAGTGTCTGCCCACCTGACAGTTTCAGTGTGATTCATCAGGAACCCTGGTGTAGGGTCTGTGGGGCCTGCTGAGACTAGCCAGTAGGGTAAGGTTGGATTATGAGGATGGATCCACCCAGAAGAGGAGCTGATCACATGTCATGGCTTTGTGAAAACCTGACACATTAGGCTGCACAAACTCCCCAAAGGTTGCAGCCTCTGCGCTGTGAGGCTCGGCTGCCATGTGGGAAGCAGTGTGCCACCTCAGCCAGGGTCTCTTGAGGTGTCATATGTGTCTGGACTACATGGCTCCATTACATGTTGTCTCTAGTACCTATCCCACACTGTATTGCTGCTTCAATAGACAGGCCGTCCTCCATCTGTGGAGGTGTTCCTCCCTTGCCTTCCTCCCCCAGCCCTCTGCAGTGACATCAAGGCCCACAAATCCCATGTCTCTTGCTGACCTACCCTCCCTCCACTGCAGCGAAGGGTCTTCTATATGGTGGATGTCTAGGGCTTCGTAGTTAGCAAGCTTATCAAGTTTCTGAATATTCTGGAGTTATTAGCACCTGACCTTGAAGAACGAATTCCCTGTTTTCACTTCACAGGGCCAGAAGGGAAGCAAAGGGGAAAATGGCAGCCCAGGACTTCCTGGTTTCCTGGGTCCCCGGGGGCCTCCTGTAAGTAGAGAACCCCATGCAGTCAAGATGCCTGGCTCCACGTTCAGCCTTCTCCTCTGTTCTCATATCCCTTTGTTCAAGTCATGATAAGAAGGTGTGGAGTCAAAGTGCTCGTGATTTAGGAGAGTAGAGAGCCACGTCCGCATGGGATTCCCAGGCCCACCACTCTCTAACCTTGAGACCTTAGGAAGGTTCTATAACATCTCAGCCTGCGGCTGTCTCCTTACTCAAATACTGTGGCGTGGGGCTGGAAAGATAGCTCAGCAGTTAAGAGCACTGACTGTTCTTACAGAGGACCCAGGTTTGATTCCCATCATCTACATGGCAGCTAACAGCTGTCCATAATTCCAGTCCAGTTTCAAGGGATCTAACACCCTTTCCTGAACTCTGTGGGCATTACATACATACAGGCAATACACTATATATATATATAAATCAAATAGTGGAACAGCATATCATCCATCCACTTCTGAGGAGTCAGTGAGATAGTCTACATAAAGGGCAGCTAGGTGCCCACATTTTACAAAATTTATTCCTTACTTATAAAAACAAGATCAGTTGTCTGGCTCTTCCTGCAGGTTGGTGGCTGGTGACTGTTCTTTATATATCTTACTGCTTCTAAGTCTCATGGTACCCTATGACACAGGTGCAGTGACTTTTCCCATTCTACAGATGAAGAAACTAAGGCAAAATGAACTTAAGGCGTTCATGAGGAGGTTGTCTAAGGTCACAGAGTCAATCAATAGAGCAATCGAATTTGCATTGAGAATCCAGTTTCTTTGTGTCATCTTACTTCACCCACTGTGACCTGTTGCTCAGAGCTTTCTCCTTCCCTCTGACAACTGGTGAAACTGGCGCCCATGGAGGCCTGCGTGGTGAAGTCACATGAGTCCCATTGACAATGATTCCAGAACCAGAGGGCCCCATTCCCACTCTGGGACAATTCTGAACCTTCCCCTGTTTGAGCTGACCAGAGGGTCTCCCATGGGATGACCTGTCAGATAGGCCTTTGCTGGAGCATGATCAGTGAAATCTCCATCAAGAAGATTGTCATGAGCTGGTCTGATGCTGTCCCTCCAGTGACCCTGTGTTCTATTTCCTAGGGAGAAGCTGGAGAGAAAGGAGCTCCAGGCAAGGAGGCAAGTATTCCTCACTCCCGCCCTTTCCCATGGAATCACAGATGGGCACCAAGCCTGGGAAGCCTGTCCAGGGCCCACAGCCCTGAGCTCCACCTACGTCAATGTGCTTTTTGTACTTGGGGTAATGTTTGAATTTCACAGATTCTCATAAGTCGTGCAGCCTCTGGGGTCACCAGGTCAATGAACCTCTTTTCTTACCTACCCTCAGCGTCAGCAAAGTTCTGTCAGCTCCAGTTTCCTGGTGCCTCTCAGTTCTGTCCATTGCTTCGAAATGGTACCTGATCCAATCTGTCGTCCTTCTTCTCGTGGACCATTGCAGGAGCCTTCTGCTGGGGTTTCATTCCCAGTGTTCTGATAAAGTGCTGCAACCGAGAGCAACTTGGGGTTGGGGGGTATTTCAGCTTACAGTTCCAGCTTGCAATTCATCATTGTGGGGAAACCGAGGCAGGAACCTCACACGCTGGTCACATCACATCCACTGTCAAGAGCAGAGCGAAATGAATGCCCGCGTGCACGCTTGCTCGCTAGTTTGTCCTCGGCTCGATGTCTCTAAGCCTATACAGCTCAGGACCCTCTCCCTAGAAGATGGTGTCACCCCAGCAGACTAGCTTTCATGCATCTGTTAACTTAATCACGATGCTCTCCAACAGACCAACCCAATGTAGACGGCTCCTCACTGAGACCTTTTCCCAGCTAATTCTAGACTGTGTTGAGCAGACCATGAAAGCTAACCATCACTCCTTCTGATGTTCCTCTATTCAGTCTTGAGCCTCTGTGGCAGAGGTCTGTGGTCATCAGCATTTCAGACCACTTTGCAGCTGAAATCACAGCCCTGCTCTCCCGTTGCAGCCCAGTGGCCTCCGTGATGCCCCAGTACCACCCAGTGTTCCTCCTTCTCTTAGCTGATGCCATTTTGGCCCCTCCCTGGAATGCCAACTTGGTTTCTAGGGCTCCCTCCTCGGGTAGACCACCAGAGGGGATGCCCTACTGAACACCTGCTCTGTTCTGTCCCAGCATAGAAGGCTAGCTCCCAGAAGGCACACAAAGTGTTTGATGATTAGAATGAACAGATGCGGAGAAAAGACTTCGAAGGAAGTCCCTCGTGTGTACCAAAGCCTGCTCCCTTCCCTTTGTCACAGTGTGCCTTTGGGCCACTTTTGTAAGTGGCTGTCTCCCTTGAAGAGGGATCAAGCATGTTTGGGAAGACTTTGCTCCTAGCCCAGTTGCAGACTCATTCACTGGACCTATCACACACACACACTTACTGGATTGGGGAAGGAGAGATGTTTCTGAGTCTGCATCAGCTCCAGGTGCTAGTAGTGACGCCGCTGCCTATGTGAATCCTCTCGAGCTCCCCAATGGCCCTTCAGAAAAATATTCATGTTCGCAGGCTCCCCAGGTCTTCCCTAAC